TGTACTTCAGCAAGTACATCCTGTAAAATATTACAATATATGAATTAAAATAAATTCACACATATTTGTAATACTTATAAATTAATTTTTAAAAACATTAATATTTATATATATATAGTATTATAAAATTATTCATAAATTCTATTTCCTTATTTTTTTACGAAATAAATTCATAAATGAGGTCACAAATGAGGGCATTTCACGCTGGAAACGATCGGTTGCGTATTTATGGTGAGGTACATGCCCGTAAAATAAGCTGTTAGGACATTCTGCCAATTTCTTACTCTCTACCCCCAAGAAGATTGTTCACTCTATGGCAAAAAGCATTCGTGCTCGATGTCAGCGATTTTGTATACCCACGTGGAAAACGATTTCTGCTCGGATGCAATGCAGTATTGCAATGTATCAATCTCTTTATGAAATCTTATAGCAAACTTTTCTTGCGAAAGATAATTACTCAAATTTGAAGCATTTTAGTTCTTGACAAATATTGCGTATAAAAAAAAGTTGTAATATATCTTATTATATAAAATATATAATTCACAATCAATTGTGTATAATGAAATATGTATAGTTTTTATTATGCATATATATGAATATAATATAAAAAATTTATTAGATGATATAAACTTTTAAAGGTTTATATATTTAGAGGTTTATACATAATATTATAAAATATACATGTGTATGTTTTATTACACATATATTTTTTTAAATATTACATATTGCATCATGATTTTTTTGAAAGACTACTCATAAAAATATTTATATGTATCGTGCATGCAACTTCATATTTTATTTATCGTACTATTACGCGCGACCTTGTCAACGCAAAGATACGGGTATGAGGATTCGTAATCACTCTTATCAATCAAGATCATATACCGTGATTTTCAAGATTCCAGAAGCTCGATACGCGCGAAGATTAATATAATTGATGATTTTGCACAAAGTGTCACGGCTTTTCTATATCCGGATAAATGTCGGGATTTGCTCCTCCTACCGCGGGTTGTGACCTTTCTAATATCGCAGAACAACAAATGGCATACGCGCGCGCACGTTATCGCAGCAGAACACAGGATATTAATCATGCGATTCAATGTTCTGTGTTGCATCCTTCGAGAGACAAGTCTACGAACCAAATTTCAATTTATTTCTCTCGCTGCGGAGAATAAACGCGCAATCTCTGCTTAAAATTATCTCTTTTGTTTCAAAATATAATTATATTATCATTTATTACATCATTGTTAATTAATCTTAATTACATTATTATATTTTACACACAGAAATCTTTTGTAACTTATAAATTTATTGGAATAATACGAAAATTTTATTTGACAAAATAATTGAAAATAAATATACATAGATTACTAAAAAAGTTTTATGTAAAATTTCAACTATTTCAAAATTATTCTTACGCCGAATATGAACATCCCATTTATAAGCTTAATTTTTTATATAAATTTAACATTTCTTTAATATATAATTAATGTTATATTTTTGATGAATCTTTTATTTAGTATAAAATTATAAAATAAGATTATATAAAATATACATATATATATATATATTCATATACATTAAAGAAATATATGTGTGAAAAGTTAATATTAAAATTAATGCAATGTATCGTATTGTACGATAAATTATAAACCGCCTTATTTTGAACCGTAAAGTAAAGTTTGTGACAAATAAATAATGATAATAAATATGTATCTATTTATAGTTTTTAAATTTGCTTAATTGAAATTAAATAAGATACATATATAACATAACACCATATCCAACACTGACATATAAGATGCCTTGAAGAGACGTTTTTAAAATAGACAAGCTTTGTAATGAAATTTTTCTCGTTATCTGATTCTTAATAAATGATTTTTAACCGAAATTTTGATATTTTCACACGGTTTTATAAATTATTTAACATAAGAAATATTGCTTGTCGGTGTATGTCGCACGATTTCTTGACAAAATGCGCTTTCAGAGATTTAACGCAACTCAAGAGTGTAACGGATACACTTTATCTTGGAATTCTATAAATCTTAAGATAGCGCCAAATGCATTGTTTAGCGCATTGTCACCTATTACCAATGAAACCTTCTCTAATTTCAGACTGAGAAGAAGGCAACTCGTTCGTCATACGATAAGGAACCTCGTCTCTCTCTGTTCTCCGCTTCTTCGAGAAAGTACTCGTACTCGTTCTTATCTAAGTCCACGTAAAACGAGTCGATCCAAACAGACTTGCTCCTTGTTTCATAGGATAAGAAACAAAGTAACATGATAAAAAAAAATTATCGAGTCTCTGTGTTGTACATGTAAATCACTTACATATATTATTATATTTTTCGAACAACAAAATAAATTCTTTAGATTTGTTCAAGCTTAAGATTTGAAAAGAATGGAAAAATCGAGATTTGACTTATTTCTTGATATTGACTTCTTTTTATTTCTTTACATGCACTATTTATTAGTTGAATTAAAGTTAGAAAAGAAAATAATATATTGAAACGTTAATAAGAATTCGGTTATCAATTTTGATCAATTACTAATGCCCGTTCCTACCAATGTGGTTGAATTTTAATTTCGGTTCAATAAACTCTTCATCTTTTTCTAGTTCTAAGAATTAGAAAAAGATGAAGAGTAAGTTAAATTCAAGATTAAAGTTAATCTACATTGGTAGAAACGGACATTATTGTTTTTAACTTACCGATCACTTATCGTTTCTAATTCTGACAATGACTGACTCATTATTTCTAAATGTCATCACATATGGTTATTGATTGATTGCTTTATTGTTATTTTTCGATTCTTTGTATGAAGAGTAGATATCAGTTAGTGATTTCTCTGTGAAATTTAAAATTCTAAACCATAAATCGAACCACACCCTATATATTACAAAATCGTTTGGAATTCTGCAGTGAGGTGCATTTTTATGTGATGTAATGAGTTACCATATAGAGTAGTACAGCACAACTCTCCGTTATCTTATTTTATAATTTCAGTTATAGTTTTTGTAGTTAAATTTCAACGTTATTCAATCTATTAATGGTGGCAACGGTTGGTATGTACATGTATACAATATTGTACCCAGTAAACTAGATTAAAGGGAATCAACGATCCAGTGAGCGAATAAACTACATAGATACCTATGTAAGAAAAAAAAAGAGAAAAGACAGTGGACAGAGGGAGAGGGAGAGAGAGAGAGAGAGAGAGAGAGAACTCGAGATGGTGAATTAGTTCGAAGGAAAGAGGATCGAAGGAAAGAAAATCGAGCGGAACACTCGATCGTGGTAACGGATTATAAAAGTGACCATAGGCCCGCGGATATATATCTACACATTCTACACACAAACCGTGAGTCCGGATTCTGCGGATCACCCCCGCTCTGCCTTTCTCGCCCCACCTTTCTGACATCCCGATGTTTCTCCGCGTGGCAGTCTGCATCCCTTAAGTCGGGGTGTCCCCTTGCCCGCCCTTCTAGGTATTTCCCCTCCTCCCCCACGCATTATTCATCTCTCGTTCTCTATCCTCGTCGCCCTTTTTCTCGTCGGTCCTCGTATTACTCCCTCTTTCTTCCTCATTCATTTTTCTCTTTTTCCTCTTCCTCCTCTTACTCTTACTCTTTCTCCCTTTCTTTCTCGTTTTCTTTCTCTGGTCTATTCGACGTCCCTCTTGTTCTTGTTACGTCTTTCTCGTTCCCATCAACGCGAAGCAACGTCCTCGTCGCACGAGGCTCCAGTGTGCAGCGGCCATCTTGCATACCTGAGCCTCCGCATTGCTCGTTCCTCGAGGGCAAAAGGGAGAATATCTCAGCGAGACGGCGGCGGGATGCGCGAGGTAAGTCGAAGGTGGAAGGATCGCGCGTGGAAGATGGCGAGGAGGGAAAGCTGGAGAGGTGAGTCGAGTAAGAGGGTGGGGGAGGAGAACGGGCCCACGGTTGAAGCAGCGGGCCCCAGGAAAGAGCAAGTGGGAGGGAGAGAGAATGACAGGCTTCTGCGTGATGGACAAAGAAGCCTGTATTCTGATATAGGCAGTGGTATGGCAAAATGGTAGGGGTGAGGAGGGAGGATGGGAGATGGGAAAGAGAACCGAGGTAAGAGCGAAGAAAATGAGCATTCGGAGAAAGAAAGAGGGACGAGGATAGGAAATCAAACGTTTCTTGACACGAAAGACAGGGAGGGAGAGAGAAACAGAAAAAGAGAGAGCGAGTTGTTAGAAAGAGCGAGTGGGACCATCGTGGAGCGAGGAAATGCGGTAGAACCACGGTGTTTCTCAGAGCGGACAGAGAAGGTGATATCGATAGACCATGCCGGGGTGATCGGGGCAAAGACATAGATAGAAAGCGAGAAAAAGAGGGAGAATGGAGATATAGGGAACAGGAGAAGGATAGTGAACAAGGGGTGGGGGAGAGAGAAGGCCCGATGGATCGGAGAGGGACGGCGTCAGCCAGCCCGAAGAATGCCTCTCCTGGCAGCGGCGAAGTTCTGGGACCGGCTCGGTTCAGTCGAGTCAGGTCAGCCCTCGGGAAGGCGACATTCTTCTTCACGGTGCTCACGTTTCGCGTTCTTTCGGGGCATTACGTCGCGTTCTTCGCGGTCCCGTTTCGGCGTCGTGTTTCGTTACGTTATTTCTCTTTTATTTTCTACCCTCTTATCCTTTTTCCATCGGCCCTGGTGCCGATTGCTTTCGCAGTTGCGCACGATTCATCTTCATCCCCCGATAACCAAGCCTACCCCGAGGCGCGCGCGCGCGCGCGCACGCGAACCCGTTGTGTTGCTCGTGAGATTGCTTTACGATCGGCGAACCCGAGTGAGCGCTGCATCACGATCGCGTGAACTTCCTGACAATTTCCGCGAAAGATAGCGCGAGTTCGGCGGCGAGTCGCACGAACTCGAAAGTGAATCGCGAATTCGAGTCTGTCGAAATTCGGTTAGATCGATACTCTCGTGAAAATATATCGTAAATCATATTCTTTGTGCTCCGGATATTAGATCTTGGTGTGTCCTCTGTGTAGTGTTTATGCGAGATTCTGTCGGGTTCAATTAAGCTTTAGTGATAAATTTATGGATTCTGAGAGATTTGAGTGTTTGACGTATAGCGGGATATAGAGATATAGAGATCGCCACCAAAAATCGTTGTCCATCATTTGTTACCAATCATCTCTTTTCAAGAGGAATTTCATCTTTCTAAAAATGCAATATGACAGAACGAAGCACGTGATGTAGATGCGTAGTGTGCCTGGAGCGCAAGAGCTGAAAAAAGGAAAGCAATTTCTTCAGAGGAGACTCCGTTTTTGGGAAGAAAGATATACATTTTCTCGATTCTATATCACGATTGCGAATTGTTAATCGGAAAATCGAAACGTTCCACTCTCGCGTTCGCGAAGCATTCGCGAGCATCCACGGACGCGCGTTTCGCGAGGCGCGGCTCTCGGCGGGTCACTGCCCCCTCTGCCGGGTGAAGTCTCTTCTCGTATACACTTGACTTTTAGCGGCGAAGGAAAGGAGAAGTAAAGAGGAGAGGACGAGAGAGAGAGAGAGAGAGAAAGAAAGAGAGAGAGAAAGAGAGAGAAACGGATACAGAGAAGAAGAAGAAAGACGGAAAAGAAAGCACCCACCAGCTCAGAGTTTAAATCGGGACTCTGATCCAGGTGGGGAAAAAATGCGACGCATCGCCGGACAGAGGATGGCGGTTCACGTCGTCGCGCGCGATTAATCTCCGTCCTTGGAGGAATGTCGTGGTACGTGCAATGCACCGGTACGTAGACGCGGAAGACGACAGGATTATCGCCGGCCACAACCATGAAGAAGAAGAACGACAGGTAGTGCGTAATCGGAGCGCGCGATTTTACGCCTACGACGAGTCACCGTAAGCCGAGATTTGGCTAAGGCAGGTGGGCGTGTCGCGGCGAGACAGAAGAGATGATCATAAGGAGATCGATGATCCTGACCCTTCTCCTGGGACTACTGTTAGTGGTGAACCAAAATGGCGGCCAGGTCGTCGGCCAGGACGCGGCGGCGACGGCGACGGCGACGGTGGCAGTGGCCACGTCTAATGACTACTTTACTTTGCGTAACCTACCTCAAAGAGTCACGCGGTTAGTACCACGAAGGTCACCAATGTTGCCGCAGGATAACACTGCGGCGATGGGTCTGGCGATGCAGAGTAGAGCGGTTGACACGCGGGTTCAACTCGAGATTAGGGAGGGCGAGTCCAAGGGTACCATAGTCGGCACGATACCAGTGAAGCCTGACTTTACTTACAGGTTCAATGAGCCACCCCAGGAATTCGTACTCGATCCAGAGACTGGCAAGATAAGGACGGCCATGGTTCTCGATCGCGAAGCTCTCAGCAGCGATCGGTTCGATTTAGTTGTGCTCTCGAGTCAACCGACCTATCCGATCGAAGTGCGAATTTTGGTTCTTGATATCAACGACAATAATCCAGAATTTCCGGAGCCTAGTATCGCGGTTAGCTTCTCGGAATCGGCTGTGGCCGGTACCAAGCTATTATTGGACGCTGCGACTGATCGAGATACACCAGAGAATGGTGTGTTGGACGATTATTTTATCGTGGACGGCAATACGGATGACAAGTTCCGTTTGGAAGTTACTGGGGATCCTGGTGAAACGTCATATCTGCACCTCGAGACTACTGGCAAGCTGGACCGTGAGCAGGTGGAATTCTATTCGCTCAACATCTGCGCGCGCGATCGCGGCCGACCACCGCGACTGGGTTATCTGCTGGTGAACGTGACGGTGTTGGATGTGAATGATAACCCGCCCGTGTTTTCACAGAGCGACTACGTGGTAGCATTGAACGAAAGCGCATCAGTCGGCACCAAGGTGTTAACGGTGCACGCCACCGATAAAGATTCAGAAGACAATTCTAAGCTGACATATTATCTGCCGGACAATGAGCGCAAGTTCACAATCGATCCAGAAACTGGCATGATTATGACAGCCGAGCCGTTAAAATGTCCTCAACAACGTTGCACGGTGACACGTCCAGGCGGTGGTTGCCCTAAGAGTTGCGTCATCACAGTCTTCGCTCGCGATCATGGTTCGCCTAATCAAGACGGTCGTACTTACGTGACGGTAAACCTATTGGATGCTAACGATCACGATCCTGTTATCAAATTCAATTACTTTCCACCGAATGCGGGTTTTGCCACCGTCGATGAGAACACCGCCAAGGACTCGATCGTCGCGGCGGTAGCGGTGATCGATGATGACGAGGGTTTGAACGGTGAGACTAGCGTGGAGATACGTGCCGGTAATGAGTTGGGCCACTTTCGGCTCGAGGTTACAGAGAGCTTCGACATCGTGCGAGTCGACGGCCGATTGGATCGCGAGGAGATCCCCAAATATAATCTTACAGTGGTTGCTACCGATAAGGGCACGCCGCCCAGATCTGCTACGGCCTATCTCGTGATACACGTGAATGACGTCAACGATCACGAGCCGGTGTTTCAACAAAGCGAGTACTCGGCGGTATTATCGGAATTCGCACCGATTGGCAGTTTTGTCGCTAGCATCTCAGCTACGGACGCGGATTCTGGGTTGAACGCGCGAATTTATTACGAGTTCGGTTCGGGTAATGAGCAGAATTGGTTTGCCATCGATAGTGACACCGGTTTGGTTACCACTGTGGCTACCTTGGACCGTGAGGTACAAGGTAGCATCGAGTTACACGTATCGGCACGAGATGGTGGTCCGAATACTAAATACGCGTCCACGCATCTTAAAATAACGATTCTCGACGAGAACGATGAAGTACCACGTTTTCCCGAGGACGTCATCGAAATCGCGTTGTCGGAGAACACGGCGCCCTACAGTCTAATAGCTACTCTCACAGCTGTTGACAACGATCAAGGTACGAATGGTAGCGTTGCGTACAGCTTTCATTCTAGTGTTTCGCGTGATTATTCCAAGACTTTTGCTCTGGATGCTCTGACCGGTCAGTTGACAACCATGACTACTCTGGACCGAGAAACCATAGCAGAATACAGACTTTTAGTGATAGCAAAAGATCAAGGCACGCCAGTACAATCTTCGACTGCTACCGTGGTGCTAACATTACAGGATGCCAACGATAATTCGCCGATCTTTTATCCTTGGAAATATCTAATGTCCATCTCCGAAGATATTTCAGCAGGTACGACAATAGGTAAAGTGACGGCGACTGACGCAGATGCTCGAGAGAATGCTCAGGTGAAATACACTCTGGAATCCGGCGGCGAGGGTCTCTTCGTAGTGGAGGAGAGAACCGGTGAGATTGTTCTGCAAGGTTCTCTACGGGCTGCGCATAAGACTCTTTATGAGTTAATAATCTCAGCGAAGGACATCGACAATCAGGTGGCAGCCAGGAATGCTGTAGTAGAGATTATACGCGAGGAAGATCTGGAGCACCTCGAGTTCGACACTTACAACGGCTATGAGTTTCGTGTTCTTGAAGATCACGGGGATTGCGATTACGTTACGTCTGGTAATCGGGAGATTGGCTCGGTACACGTTACGCAATACGGCAACACGGGTAAAGTGAGCTATGCTATAGTATTTGGTGATCCTAAGGGTAACTTCAGAATCGATGAGAATACCGGCATCATCAGCACCACTGGCTGCCTGGATCGTGAGCGTCTCTCTTATTACAGCCTACAATTGTCAGCGCGTACCAATCTCGCGTACGGCCAAACAATCGTTAATATTACAGTGCAGGATGTTAACGATAATCCTCCGAAGTTTCCCAGGGGCGAGTGGGGTGACGAGATTCTACAGGAGAACGCGGCGGTGGGACAGGAAGTGTGCCTTGCCCGGGCCAGAGATCGCGACATCGGCGCCAATTCCAGGATTGTTTATTCGTTAACACATAATCCAGACGGACAGTTCAGAGTCGCCGAAAACTCTGGCATTATCTATCTGAATAAACCAATTCGTGTACCGCCTGGTACAATCCTCCATCTAGAGGTGACTGCGACTGATTCCGGCAGACAACCACTGTCCGCTCAGTACCAAGTTCGAGTCACGATCGAAGATGTCAACGATCATACACCAGTTTTCCGATTGAGCAGCTATGAGACTTCACTATCAGAATCTACGCCAGTCAACGAACGTTTCTTTTCGCTAACAGCTCAAGACGCAGATCTCGGCAACAACGGCAGGATATTATATAGCATTACCGATGGCAATGCGGAGGGCCGCTTCGGCATCTTCCCGGATGGCCAGTTGTATGTGAAAAATGAGCTTGATCGCGAGGAACGAGACTATTACGCGCTCGAGGTTACTGCATCTGATCAGGGTAGCCCATCACGGAGCTCTGTGGTCCCGGTGGTGGTACACGTGATTGATGAGAACGACAACGCGCCCGAGTTTACCAATAGTAGTTTCAGTTTTCATCTACGCGAAAACGAGCCGCCTGACACCTTCGTCGGCAAGTTGCTGGCTACTGATCGCGACGTTGGTCGTAACGCTGATCTCATATTCTTACTCCCGCTCATTCAGAGTGATTTCGTGGTCGATCCAAGGAATGGTTTCATCAGATCACAGCACGTATTCGATCGTGAACTCTTAGTAACCAATACTAGCAGCAATTACATCAATTTGGAAGCCACTGTTATAGACAATGGCATTAATCGCTTGCGTGACCGCGTCAAGGTCACCATCTATATCACCGATATTAACGACAATGTGCCACAGTTCCAACGTCTACCTTATCGGGTACAAGTGAGCGAAGGTGCCGCGATCGGCACGCAGCTGCTAAGAGTCTACACGACCGACGCAGACGAGGGCTTGAACGGAGATGTGTTCTATTCGTTGGAGGACGGCAATCAACATGGCCATTTCATGATAGACGAGGCCACCGGGCAAATCTCGCTGATGAAGGAGCTTGATCGTGAAATGTCTGATACCTACGTGCTGACTGTTGTGGCACACGATGCTGGTTTGGAGATACGATTGTCATCTAGCGCGACTGTTCATATCGAAGTGCTCGATGAGAACGATAACGTGCCGTTCTTCGTCGACAACAAGTCGAGAATTTCTGTGCTGGAGACTATGCCAATCAACACCGAGCTGTTGCGTTTCAAGGCCACCGACAACGATCTCGGACCCAACAGCGAATTGGCATTCGCTATATCGGCCGGTAATAAGAGAGACACGTTCTATATTGATCCGCTGACCGGTATTCTATATCTGAGAAAGCCACTTGATTACGAAGAGCAGATACGTTACACGCTTAACATCACATGCAGCGATGGAGGTCATCCACGGCTCAGTTCGGTCACTAGCCTAATCGTCGAGGTGATCGACACCAACGACAATCCGCCGGTGTTTCCAAACACTGCAATAGTACGTCAGATACGCGAGGGTATCCTCGTGCGAACGCCGATTGTCACCATTACCGCCGAGGATCCAGATTCAGGTGATAACGGAGTGGTTAGCTACTCGATCCTTAGCCAGGAACCGCAGGATCAGATGCGACGTTTCGGTATCAATCCATCGAGTGGTGTGATCCATACGTTGCTTCCAATTGATCGCGAAGAGGTGGATACTTTCAATCTGGTGGTGGTCGCTACCGATCAAGCACAACCACCAAGTGCACGGTTGTCTGCCGAGAAACAAGTGATTGTGTTCGTCGAGGATATCAATGACAACGCGCCAATCTTCGTTAGTATGTCGGCGGTAGTGTTACCGCCTCTGAGGGCTGGCAACTTCAACTATCATCAGACCGAAGATATTCAGATCATGCAACTGCTGGCTCGTGATCTTGACTCTAGCACTAACGGCCTGGTGACGTATGAATTACTCCGTTCTAGCGTCAACTATTCGAACATGTTCGAGGTTTATCGTAACACCGGTGAGCTCATTATGAAACTTCCGCAATCATCCTCAAAAGGTAGTCTCTTCGAACGAGCTTCCTTCAAATACCAAGTAGGTGTCCGAGCGACGGACGAGGCGGTCCAGGCGGAGCGTCGTTCGTCTGAGACTTACGTGACCTTGATCGTGCCGGGCGAGGACGGCGACGATCAGCCGATTTGGGAGCATCAGGGTCAGATTGAAGGTAACGTTTATGAGAACGAGCCGATCGGCACGAGTATACTGCGCGTGAGCGCGTGTAGTCGTCAATCCAATATCGAGCTCGAGTATTACGTGACGAACGTGACCGCCGGCGACGGGCCCCAAGTTGATCGGCTATTCGACATCGACACGAAGACCGGTGTGCTGTCCACCGCGGCCCAACTTGATCGTGAGACCGGCGTCCAGTGGTACGAGGTGGAGCTATACGCCATCGGCATCGGCGGCACCAAGCCCAGTACGACGTCCACCAAAGTAAGTCCGTACCGCTTGGCTTTTTGATTGATCGTCCCGGTGATATTAATGATGCTTCCTTCGTCGGCTCCTGAAAGATATTCGGTGCTTTTTGTGTGCCGTGCCACTTCCTCGTCCCGCGCGCTCGCCCCGCGTAATGTAATTTCTCGATTGCCGGATAAGACCTCTTCTCGCGAAGCGGGTGAGTGAACGGGTGAGTCAGGATTGTCGTTTGAGATACCCATTGAGATACCTGTTTTTTATTTCATAGATAATTTTTATACATTTACTTTTTCTAAACTGTGCAGATGCTAATGTAAATAATTAAAATATACACACACATATATACATATATATGTGTTAATAGCAATATATGTCTCTTTTTTGTGTATATAATTATATATTGCATTCGAATTTTCCGGAGAAGCAAAAGGAATAAAATTGCAGTTATATTATGTATTGTATAATTACATGTGTGTACGTAACTGTAATTATTTTTATTTCTGCTTCTTCGAAAGATTCGCATTCAATATATAAGAATAAACTATTAATAAATTAATTCTCACTTTTAATGAGAATGCCGCATGGATTCGGGGACACGTACACTCTCTCTGAGATTTAGTTTTTCTATTTCATGTACTTTCGTATTACCGTTATAATTAAATGTACAGTAAGCTGATTTGTGAAACACAGACAATAATTTTACGCTTATGATTGATTATTCAAAAGATATTAATGATGTATCAGATATGGAAGGGAACTTTATTAAATCGGATGTGTATACGGACATGTGTAATTTCTGAACAAATTGCTAAAATACATTTCCTTAAACATTGATGTTATTGATGCGAAACATAAATATTACAATTATCAATTATATATATCGACTTTTAATGTTTATTTAAATATTCTTTATTTGTTATATAATTTATTACATATAGTTATATCTTATAAAAAAAGTAATAATAATTTATAATTTAATTTTTGAGACGCAGTTTTCTTTAAGCTCTTAAGGTTCGTATAGAAAGAGTAGACAATAGCGAGAAATTTGTGATACAAAAATGACTTTTAATACATTTTGATTCATATATCACACTCAAGGATAGCAGTTAATAATCAATAGTTACAAGAGGAGTTTTGATACGATATTATTACTGAAAAAATTACAACTTTTGGGAGCGGAGGATTTCACTATTAATCTTATCTCTATTCATCTTTTCTTTGGACGCTATTTCCGCGTTCATTAATTTCTCCTTCTCACTCTCGATGACATAATAATTAGAGCGACAACGTATACGCGCCGCGTGTCTTTCACCAGACAAGCGATAATTCGACTGACTGAGAATTGTGTTACGCAACAATACCCTTAATGCAATTAAAGCCGACGATAGAGTGATACACAGAGAGATAAAAGGAATGAGAAAGAGAGAGAAGTGACGAAGGGAGTAAGGAAAAGAGAAATCTTTGGAGATGAGAAGCGATGGATGGAAGGACCAACACGCGCACGGGGAAAAGGACGTGTTCCTCTCGATAGCGAGAGAAAGAGGAGGTAAAGAAGGAGGCGAAGAAAGAGGAGAAGGAGTGGACAAGGTGGAGGAAGAGGGGGAGGAGGGGAGATCGTGAATACGAACGGTTTACAGCCGGTTCAGTGCTGCATAAATAGGGCTTAGGACCCGGGACGTTTTCTCAAATTACAGGGCGCGTTTCAAATTTATACGAAAGCACCACACCGCGCCGCCACCGCCACCGCTACCACCGTCGCCGTCTGGTCTCGTTTTATTAGAACGAAGCATATCCTAATTAATTCGAGCTTTTTTACTCTGCACTTGTACAGGGTGTCTCACAATTTGCAATCTTGTCTTTATAGTGATAGAATTTTAAAGCAATTTGGCTATTCTTCATCGAAGATGTCGAGATATTAATAGTTTGAGAAAAGCAGCTGGATGATAGAATTGTGTATCTCGTTTTTAAAAATAATTTTAGTAATAAAAATTAAAATTTTAACATCTTTTTTTTTTTTAAATGATATCAAAATAAAATTACATTTTCCTATTAATCTATCAGTTCATTACAGAAATTTATTAAGGTATCTCTTTTATTGTGCATCAATTAAATGATTTTTAACATATTTTGTAATGAATTCTTTACTCTTAAATCTTGACGAGGAATTTTTGAAACTTTGATTAAATTTTCTCCTTACAACATTTAATTTAAATTTATTGATCTCATTCTTCTGCTATTTAAATTTTCATAAATCTGGATTTAGAGAAAGCCGTAGGCTTAAGGATTAACCTTAAGCAAAATTATTCTATTCTGTTTTTACTTTGCGTAAGGGATTACCTAGAAAATCGGGAATCTTTCGAAATCGATATTCACATGGTACCGATATTCCATTCGCGCTCCTGCCACATCTTGGAATTGGAGGGCAGGGAAACGGTGGATGGCGAGAGACGAGGAAAAAGAGACGGTTGTAACGGGAGAGAAAGAGAAAGCGAAAGAGAGAGCGGGAGAGGAATAAACGACAAGATGAACCGCGTGCCAGGAAATCAACTCGGATTCGAGTTCAGGCCTCTGGCTCTCTCTTTCTCTTTCTCTCCTCTCTCTCCCGGTAGTTCGAAGACTTGAGAAAAACTTGATCTCGGATGAGCGAGCGCAGCCCTTACCTTTGCGCTCGCGCGAGCGCCGGGGCCTTAGGACCGCTGAGAAGCGCACAGTCGGTCCCATCTCTACCCCTGGTGTGCGTCAACGCCGCTTTATTTCTGAAGATCCTTTCCTCTGTCCTTCCCCCCTCCCTCCATTTCTTTCAAGCCGCCTACCGTCGCCCTTGGCTTCTCTTCGTCTTCGTCTACACATTTATTTCTCTTCTTCTTAAATTTAATCTTTTATTTGGTAATGTTGTTTTCGAGAAACATGATTCTTTTATATTGTACTTCATGTACCGCCTTTTGCTATTATATGATGAAGTTCCAATCGATGTTGCTGTCGAGGTAACAAACAAAGAGTTGGTTTCTCTTAGCTTGAAAAAAGTTTGTAGAAGTCAGCTACAAAAAAATTGAATAAATATAAAGGATTACAAATATTTTCTTCGAATTCCCTTTAAATAGACACCGAGTTCTAGTTTGAGATTATATGTTTTTAACTGCAATCGAAAAAATGTCTTTCAGATTTCGTCCTATTCAAATAAAATCATAAATAAAACAAACTGATACATCTATATAGCAATTACTGGTTTATGAAAACCAATAAAAATTGAATTTTTGATAAAAACTTTTTTTTTCTCGAAAAATGATATATAATTTTAGCAATTTGTCTTAATATAAAAAGCATACCTTCTCTTTAATATTACTGATTATTTACGAATTATGATTCCAATGCTCCTAAAACCTCAGTCTCAATATATGTAATAATGTAATAAATAGCATCTCTCTTTCTTTTTCCGTCTCTATTTCTCTTCCTTTCCTCTCGTCGTATCTTTTTCTTCTCCCACCTTCATCATTCGCTATGGGATCCACGACTCTTCGGGAATCGCCGACTCTGCAGTTCGGACGTTTTTGTTCCGCTTTCGGGGCTCGTTCTTTTCTGGTCTCGCGCACCGCGCGTCTTCGTGGCCTCCCCGGGGCCGTCCGAGGGCCCGGGTCCTTCTCGGGCTACTTCTCCCCCGCGCTCCCTTACGGGCCAAAACTGTCCTCTTTTTCGTCGCACGGACGGCATCATCGGGCTTCATCCACGTCGACAGCTTTTTGTCCGGTCCCCGAAGATCACGGCGGGGTTGTGAAGGCGGCATACGGAGTCATACCGACGAAACACTCAAGCAACGCCCTTTGTCTAACCCTTTGTGCGACGGCATTTCTATCTGCGAAGGCCGCGCTTCCCACGAAGCGTGACTTCAATTATCGCGCAATGGGGTTCGCGTCTGGGTCCAGAGACGTACGGCGAAGTATATATCCCGCGATGCCGCTGCGCCGATGACTTCAACGCACGTGTGTTCAGCGTTCGTGCCTGGAGTCCCCTGTAACGCAATAATTTTCTGCTCACGCTGGATATACTCGACTTCGAGATCCATTAAATATACAGGGTGCTCCGGAATTCTACCAGATGTTCTTCTAATCTCTCTCGCCAATTTAGTAACATTTTTTACCGTTTTTCACGTTTAACCTTGTTGCATCTTTAAAAACAAGTTACAAATTAAAATTCCATGAATGGATAAAAGCCATTTGAACTTAAATTCTATTGAATATTATATTACCATTGTTTTTTCTATCCTAAAGTTTATCGTATATTCTTTATTTTCAATATTTTTAGAAATTACAAATATTACGATATTCTTGTTGAACAAATGAATTGACCAGAGAACCTATAGCGACAAGAATTTCCAAAATATACAAAAAGAAAAATAACATCGTTGGTTTTTTTATAACTTCTTAAAACCGTTAGATGATCATGACGTGTCATAGTTATATTAGTTTAGAATCGGTTAAGAAGTTAGTTGAAGTCACGACGTACTATCACGCGTTTGTTGTGTTCGAACGAGAACGTCGACAAGAAGTAAGTGGCACGTCATTTAATTTAAGGAAGTGGCTGCGGACGTGATGTTAACGTATGTCATGAAGGTGTAAGATTCGAATCGCTAACCCACACGTCCGTCCTCACCAGCCACGGGTGGGTTCCACGCGAAATGTAGGCGTGATACTCATTTTTCCAGCCGATAAATTTATCTACAGACGGGACGGAACGAACGAACATAATGTCGGCGCTAACGTACGCGCGCGAGAGCGGGAGCGTCTAATAATAGCCGGCAATAATTACGTCGACCGTCGTGATTAATAATGCACGGTTAAACGCGTTAAACCCCGCAATTAACTCTTTCTATTTCGCGATCTCGCGCGGTCGTTACGCGATCGCTTCAACTGTTTGTAGATTATTTGTTATCCGTTACATTGCGCGAGAGCGATGCGAAGGTATAAACTACCCCTGTGTGACGTGGTCCATAAAATGACAGTTCACACGTGATTTAAAAGCCT